TAAGATCGGCATTTTGTCAGCATTCAATGAGGCAAACTTAACTTTAAAAGAAAAAGGTTGGTTGAACTCATTTAAGAAGCTGAGACTTGCAAAACTTAGCCCTACTGATGCTCTTCACCTTCTGCGAAAAACAATCTGTTTGACTGAAGGATCCTGCTGGGATGACTTCGGTCAAATCGCCGAAGATATGAGGAGCTGGCCGCGTTGTTTGCAAAGTGTCTTGGCACCATACATGGTGATCTGAAATGAGATGGCGGCACCAGTCATCAATTTCCTGAAGTCAACTCGAAACAAGACACAACAGTAAGACCCTTTTTCTTATTTGACTCCAGGTTTCAAGAGATGCTCTTCTACTACATTGTAGTCTGTCACCAAAAAAGTTACTGCGGCTTAGTCCAACTCAGAAGGTCAAGTCGCTACACAGGACATGACATGGTTAGTGACCAACAACTGAGGGGCCCACATGAACCATCACAGGACATGTTCCCGTTTGAATTCCACTGCTGCTACAATCCCGGATAGTTTTCTCAATCACCGTCAAGGCCATTTCCGCAGTGTATGCTCCGGAGCAAGCTGAGGAAGTATGCCTCGTGGATGTCAACAGGCCCTCCTGCGTAACAGCAGCGGTTGGTGACTTGGGTGGACAAGCATTTTTGGTGGTGCCACAAAACATGAATCACTTTAAACTTTAAAGCCTAACCTTGTTTGTCCGGTGGCTCCTTCAACTTGTGAGATGGAATGAGCTTCTGAACACACTTCCATGCCAGTTGACAGAAACGTGCAGCTTTGGTCAACCGATCTTCGTTCGCCATGTCCTGTCACAATCTCAGGATTTGGTTTGCGTCACGAGACTTGCGGAGGAGCTTTGGTGAAATTGTGGTGAAAAGATTAAATGAAAAATTTGAAATAAAACATCAGCATGACCTGTCACAATCTGTTAAAGTCTGGACAGACAGACACACTCCGTGCTGCCGGGCCTTCTCTGGTGATCTAGAGCATTCTGAACTCCGGGCCCAGGGCGGGGAGTCCGAATCGAGTGTTGACTCCATTGAAAAATCATATTGCTCTGCCATTCTGCTGAGCCAAGGACACCGCTGCAGTGAGACGGCTCTGAGACACAGCGCCAGACAAGACTCGACTAGACTGAGTCAACTAGACTAGAAAGCTAGTCTGTCAACTAAAAAAAAGCAGCGTCAGAATCTGAGGGAGGTACTAATGGTGGGCAGTAGAACCCGAGTTTTGCCTCCGGCGAGAAGCAATACATAAGCTCTGTCGGCCGCTTGCCTACAGAACTTGCGTCCAGGTAGACCTGAGCAAATCAGACATGACATTTAAGTTAAGTTTAATTGTATAAATCATTTTTTCATAGTCCACAATGGTAACACCTATATAATGCTTTGGTCATGACGAACAAGATTATTACTATTACACACTAGCACAACACTTCTAAGCAATGGCACAGAATTGAACATAGCAGTTCAAGTCTTTGCGAACGGCGAAGAATGATGAGCATCGGGCTGCAAAGACTTTGGCATCCGCTGTGTGCAAGTGACGCCGGGTGGCCAGGAAGTAGGCGAACTCAGATTTGAGAAAAAACAAGAATGAACTCAGCGACGCAAGGAACATTTCAACTTAAACTTCTGTTCAAGTTTGTTTGGACTTTCTGATCTGAGAATCTAGTCTGACTGGGCATCCTAATCATTGGTTTCAAGTTTCATGTACAGTAAGTAAGCACCGTGCTGTGGCTGACATAGCCACAGGCAGCGCATTGATTGTTGGTTTCTGACCGAGCTCCTTCTCAAGCGCGGCTGAAATGTACTTGTCCTGGGCTGGGTCCCCCTGGGTGGGCTTGTGGAAAAGGAACTGACAAATTCCATGGGCTTTGCTAAACAGTAGTTTTTGTGTTCGTAATTAATGTTGCCTAGCTTCTTCTCGATTGAGGACCCTTTCTGCAGCTTTCTGTTTGATTTGCCACGTGACACTCACGTTGCGTTTGGTTTTGCTCGTCTCCAACTTGGCGCCAGCTGCGAGAACAAACTTTGGGACAGCGTTCTGAAACTGAAGCGCGATGTAGGTCATGCACCGAAGGGCTGGGCCAACAAGAACTGATTGAAGTTCGTCAGTGTGCTTGGGGTCTAAGCAGAAACAAAGAAGCTCACCAAAGGGGATGTCTCCCAAACCACCCCGGGTCGAAATCCACTTCTTGCTATTGTCTGCGAAATCGGCTTGCCAAGTGCTCTTGACATGTGAGTTGTAAAAGCGGCGTGACCAAAACCCACGTCCCACAATCACACCAACCACAGAAACTTCCAAATCAACCACCTCTCTCGGACTCCTCCCAACCGTCTCATGTTGTGGAATGCGAAAGCCTTCATTGAGGGCACAAATCTTGCTCAGCAGAACGTTGAATGCTTGGCACGCAAACGCACGATCCTCGACATTTCTGTACTTGCAATAGATGCATGATGTGATAAATGCAAAAGAAAGGGAAATTGATGATGTATTCTCGATCAGCCACTCATCTTGTGACGCATTGTCTTTCCGAGACCGTTTCGCTACCAGCCTTTCAATTGGAACACCTGGCCACATAGCATAGTGCATATCCTCAACCCTGGTCTTGGCAGAATAGAAGCGGTCCATAGCCTTCTTCTTGTTGTTGGTTCGCAAGAAAGCCATTGCCACCTCCCAGCGATATATCAATTCAACAACCCCATATATAGTCCACATACAATCATATCATTATCATAAAATAGCTAGTTAGTAGAAAAGAACGCTCTATGTCAATACATCTTGCCTGCTGTGAAACCAATTCACTTCGCCCATCACTCGCATCATATATCAATACCTTGACTTTTTGTATTTCGAGCTCACCTTAGCCCCGCAAATCTTTCATATACCAGAAAAAGTACGGCGCGCACCAGAGTTGAAATCATATTGCAACAATGTCCAAACGAGTGTTTCTCTTGATACTTTAAGTTCCTGACATATTCTGGTAAACCGTGATTCCCATACTGGGTCTGCGATGGCCACGTCAGCAGATTCATCCATGGCTCTCGTTTCACGAAACCATTGAGGGAATGTTCCATGTCACTCTGCTGAAATGCAACACGGCGGTAGTATGTCTTGAAACTCTTGAATCTGGTTCAAAAATGTCAAATCTGTATGTTTATGAAGGCTCTTCAAACGCTACACTTCCCTCCCGCTGAAAATGCGGCACTGTGCAGCAGCAGGGCCATCACAAACAACGCGAAACAACACGACACGGCAGAAGGTAACGAAATAGATAAGAAATACGGTTTCTTAACATAACACGTTAGCAAGACTCGGGTCTTCAAAATAACCATTAAACAAGTCTATTTCACATATTGCATCAAAAGTGGTCTATTTTTCAATCCTTCTGAACAAGCCTTATTAAGGCCTTGTTAGTCGACTACTAATGATCGCGAAGGGGGGGGGGGGGGGGGGGGGGCAGTGTAGGTTCCCATGATCTAAGGCTTTTTAGATGCCTATTTTAGGTTTTTGCGCCAGAGCGCCGCAAAGCGGCTGAGTGTGTGTGCCACACTCTGTTTCCAAGAGTTTTTACACGCAGGGGGCCGGAGCCAGGTGGGGGGCCTCCGGCCAACGAAGACACCCCCCACCTGGGTGCAAACGTGCCTGCGATCAACTGTTGTCCAAGCTGTTCTACTCTCTTTTTTGCTTTCATGGTGGTTTTCATGATACGTCCCCCAAACCAGGTTTCCATGCACGGCGTTAATTTGGTCTGCTAAGTAATCAGTAACTAATTTTCTGTCATGCATCACGAGAAACACTTTTTTCAACCACCTTCAAGTGATCGGACGCTTCACCTTGCCGTTGAGCCATTCCTTTTCTCAGGGAATTGAGTTAACTGAAAGCCCAATGTCAAAATGTCAAAGTGTGTGTGTGTGTGTTAACACCTGTTTCCAAGGTTTGTACTTGGTAAGTCTGCCGTAGATTCTATTAGAAGGCTGGACGGGTCCAAAAAGAGGCAGGGGGATGCCGGGGATTTCCATGGTCGGCGTCCAACGAAGACAGCGTGGATTTCCGTGACATGAGTCAGGGACGCCTGGCTCACGCATCTGCTAATCTTTAAGTTCAAGGCAGCGTTCAGCAGTAGGCAATCCAGGAAAACAAAACTTGTTAAACATTTTCAACTCGGCGGACCTCTTCACCTTTCCGTTCGGCATTTGCAGTTACGTCAAGTCAAGTGCTAATGAGTGTAAAGTGGGACTTCATTCTGATCCTTGCTCTTGCGAGCAACCATCTAAGTGTGTGTTTGGGAGTCTAATTTCATAGTTGCAGGTGGTGAATGGCCAAGGGCCAATGGAAGAGATGTGAATCTGTGAAACAAGAAAATTTGGACGCCCAAGGGAGGGCCGAAGGATATATATATATATTTTTTTATGTGTATATATATATATATATCCATAGTGTTAGATGGCACAAATCCGTAGACAACTCTCAATGGTCATAGCATAGATTCCGCGTAGACCACGGATCGACTTGGAGAAAAAACCCCTCAATCGTCGAGGGCATTTGCAACTTCCTACTGCACCTGTTTCCGGTTGTCAGGGAACAATCCAGCAACTTGCTGAGAACCTGCTGCACCCGAACTTTTCAGGTGGTCTATTTTTTTGATGAGACTGCCGCTATTTTGATAGAATGTTGAACTCCCTGCCCAGCCTTGCAGGTGTTGCACATCACAAGATGGGATGGCACCCTGCCTGTTGTTGGGCCACAGCCATGGACAGTTCAGTATGAGGAGGCTATGTATGAGGCAAATGCAAATCCATTTTGCTCTTCCACATGACGCCAGCATTAGAATTGGTAACAGTCCCTTCCAAATTCCGCTGATTGAACCAGGCACCCTTTTTCATGCCTTTGGGCAGTTGCAAACTTGCTTCCACTCTCACCCGGTTGTCCAAATTTGTCCAATCAGGCGCTCCCCCTACGACCAGCCCTACGACCTCGCAGCCCCTAAGGTCCCCAACAAGACATCGGTGATGCGGCCCTCGCCAATGCAGCAGCAGCATTTCATGTTATCTCCGGAGGCACCGATTCGGCCGGTTCGGCCGATTCGCCGACCGCGCGGAGACCGGGGCTTCCGGGGGGAGCGGGACGAGTTGGAGGAATGAATGCAATCGATGGAGGCCACAGGGGCGATGGAGTGAGAGAGACTATAGTCTCCATGCTATAACAAATAGATAAAGATATAAACTATATATTAATAGATTATATATATACATATTTTTTAAAAATCTGTATATACCATATATAGAGCAGCTGCTAGATGGCTTAGTACCATGCGTTTAGACTTCTGGCTGGGCTGGCATTCTCCGAAAAGGACTGGGGGGCGGCCCGGGTTCGACCGAGCCAACGACGACGAACGATGGTCGGTCGGTGGGACGGATTGGACGCAACGAAGAGTGGCGGACTGGATGGAAAACACATGCACACAAAGGCTCTATAAATACACCACCCGAACTGGGTGGTGCTGGTACTTTGGAATTTTGTGGGTGCGAGTCTCCAAGATTTCCTATAAGAGAAAAATAGAGAGAGATGCACCTCCTCGGCAATCCTCGGCAAAAAGAACATCTTGGCCAAGGGGGGCACGTTTTTTGGCTTCTCCGAGATGCTGGATTGGGTCGCCCCAAGTTTCATCCGCTTCATATTTGTGGTGCCCGGTCATTTCACCCACGACCCCACCCCGTTGGGGTCGCCGAAGGCCCCCAGACTCGTTGGACACCGCGCCCGTTCCCCGCACGGGCGAAGCGGAGAGGCGGCGTCGGCCTTTGGCGAAGCCGAAGCTGCGGGGATGGAAGACTCGCCTTACTTTGGGTCGATGTCGTTGAAGCGGCTGGAGACGTGGATGGAGAGGTGGAGGTGGAAGGGTTCTGACGTGGACTCCTCCCCAGCAACGAAAAGGAATGTACATGCCTGAGTGCTAACATCAGAAGCCTCCGCGCCCTGGAGGTCCAACAAGCATTACACGCCATCAAGTCTCATCTAGTCAGCTAGTCAGCTAGTTGTTATACAAAAAACTGTTTGACCTGGCTGGTGTGCCAGAAGTCGGGCCATAACGTCACGCACTCCGTTCGTTTCGGCAGCATTGGGAGAAAATTCTATCCGTCTCATGTCACACTTCCCAAAGCCATCGACAGGGATCCACGGTCGACATCGATCGACACAACGCCCCTCCCGACATTCAGCAAGGATGTAGCGCCTTTCTGGTAGCTTGGCGCTGGCGCCGAGGGGAGGGGGGCCAGGTATGGCCGGGTTGCTTGTTGGTCTAGAGCCATTGCTTGACGAGATGAGACTCGTGCGGAGAATATATCCATTTATGCAATCCTAGAACCTATCCGACCTCTGTTGTGAAAGGAGCAGAGCATTTAGGACACTGATAGTCTAATGAAAGACATTGGTGGCCAGCCCATCAGATCGTGCCCCTTTGCCACAAGAACCACTGTAGGACGCCTGGAAACCATGCTGGTTTGGGAGGACACCAAATGTCAGCGTGTCCCTCTTGAGTCGGATGGACTGAATGAACACCATCGGCCTCAGCCATCGGTATCCGCTGCATCTTTAGCGAGACAGCGCCTCGTGTCGGGCTGCAAAAGGAATGCCCTCCTCTTTTCCAAAGCGTCTTCCAAGCAAGGCCCTGACCGTCGTACGGGCATTTGTGGAAATCGTAGAAAACATGCTCAAACTGGGAAAGTGCAGAACTCCTTGCAGCGTCTGACGGGAGGAAGCTGTAGCTTTTTCCAGACACTGTGGGCCAATGTTAGGTTACAGCAGTTTTCTTGGATGCATTTTTTTACATCAGTTTTTAAACTTGACTTGACATACTACTACCGTCAACACTGCTACGGATGCTGCACTGCCAGTGTTTCTTTTTCCATGTTGGATGGCACATGTTCAAAAGATGCTAAACATCATGTGTCGCCATCCGGGAAAAGGTTCTTTTGATAAAGCAATCCGTTTCACTGAAGGGCCACCAGTAATTTGGACACAATTCGCTGCAAATGGGGCGAACCGTTTGAAGCTGCATTTACTTCGGGGGGAAGGTAGAAGCTAAGACTAAGACTTTCTCGGACTTGATGAAATGGGCTTCACAAGAGATGTGACCCCAGACAAGACGCCCTTTCAGACCCGTGCCACGGAAATTCGCTTCGCTGGGCCGCTGAGGAAGGTGGTGGGCCGCAGCCGCAAGCGATCACACACACGTCCGCCCTCCCATTGGCAGCTCGAGGCGGGATGGTGTGCCGTGTGCCGTGTGCCCCAGCACACGGGGCTGCAGGTCACCCCGCAGTCAAAAGAAACCAACGGCAGATGCTCCCGCCCCCTCCTCCTCACATCGTCGGGTTTTCTGCCCCCTCGCTGCGACCGAACCGAGGCGTTCTTTGCCTCCACCGTGGCTGGCGAGTGGATCTTCTTCGGCAGCGTGTGGGTCTTGCTGATGCGCTTGAGCTGCTGGGCGGGACGACCGCGCGACTCCCTCGACGCGCCGTTCCCTCCGCACGCGCGGTGGACGTGGAATGTACACCAGGGGTCCAGGGGCATGACGTTTGTTTCCACCTAGACGCGGCGTGACCAGGGTGCTTCGGGCGCCTTTTTTTTGAAAAGTCTTCGCCTTGCCTCCGCGGTGACCTGCGGCACCTGGGTTTGTTTCGCTCCCCAGTCCCGAGTCGAGCCCCGCAACGAAAGGGCAGGTGTCTCCAGTCCCAGGCACCTTTTTGGTATGGAAAGGATTTGTTTGTTTTTAAAGCCATTGTTGGAACAACTGGAACAACCATTGTGTATCCAATATGTGATGATGTGTTTCTGGTTGTTTGGGTTTCCAGGCGCCCTACAGCCCTATTAAAGGCCCTAAAGGCCCTAAAGGCCCCAGCTAAGGAGCAAGGCTTGGGTGTCGGCTGATGACGGACCCTCCACATGCAAACATTCCACTTCACTCCAGCAACAACTCCATGTGGGGCTAATTTGACCTCACCAGACCTCACCATCGACCTCACCAGAGTGCATTCCACTTCCAGTGCATTCTGGTCCACTAGGACGCTGTAGGACGCCGTGTTTAGGTCCTCGTGTCCGATGTCCTAGCTGTGAGGGTGGCCCAGGGCCCTGCCGCCTGCCCGATCTCTCCGGTCAAGGCTGGTTTATCCACGAGTTGCAGCTGGTGTCCTGCTGTTCTCATGCCACTTGGGCCAAAGTCTTCGAGCCATGCGCGGTTTTTGCATCGCAGGGGCTTTGGAAGCCAAACCGACCGACTCAACCAAGCTGGTGAAGAAGTGCTGAACTCGACGACGGGACAATTGGAGGGAAAGCGGATGGAACGCAGTCTGGAGGTGGCTGAACTTGAAAACGCGATGAAGGAGCTGCTTGAAAGCGTCTGAAGTTGGGCGAATACGGAAGTCCATCGCCTGAAGGCGGCGAATGAAGAGAGAAGGAACGTCACTTTTCAGTGGTAAACCTGATGACAGACTCATTCAGATCAAGCAGACCAGATGAAGGGTCCCAAATGCAAACACTTCGTCGATCCATCTTTTTCCATGTTCGATCGCCCCGCAACTCCCGCAACTCCGGGCGGTGCGGTGCACTGCCAGCTGGGGACCCACTGCCCTCCAAAGTAACATGGGAACTTGCAAAAGGACTATTACAGTAAGACGAGTATAGTTGCTCTACTAGGTGACCGGGTGATTGCCATATATTTGACCATATGGCGGAGTGTGTCTCAGTCGTCACGTGGACACCGTGGGTGCAGGGTTCTCCTCAGTTCCCGCATGAGGGGAGCAGATTCCACTTCGATGCCTAGGTTGCCTGCTGATTTGGGCCTCGACCCTTTGCCCCCGGTTTCTTCCTAACCAAGAGAGGTTAAGTGACCTTATAGGGCCTTACTGGGGTACCGAACTGGGATAGGTTAAGCCACCCGCCGACCACCCACCACCCGCCCCTGCCGCGCCGCTCGAGGCTGCCGCCCTCTTCGTGTGGACGCTGGCTTGGGAGCTTGGAGAAACGCCGTAAGAAGGGATGGACCCACCGTCGTCGAAGGGGTTGTTGTCCCGAAGCCGTCCACATAAAGGGGAGAGGAGGCGGGTGTTTTCCTTAAAGGATCTTATTTTGTTCCTGACTGGAAGGATTTGGAAAGGCACCCTGTTCACCACTCCGTTTGCACCTCCTTGGTCCGGCTCTACTCACTTCGGTTCAGGCGCATGAGCAAGGCCACACGCGAGGCCGAAGCGAGGTGGCGTCCCGACATCGGCACGGGGGCTACGGGGGCTAAGGCGGCGATGCTCTATCTGCTGTGGACCTACATGGGTTCTGGCCCTGAGGTGCGCCCTTCCGGGAGGAGAATTCCCAAATCAAATCCAAAGGACATCTCTATATTATATTGGGCCCCAAACAGATAGAAACGGTTTCCAATAGATTCTGAGTGAGGATCTACTTTTCTATCCATTTGGGGGGCCTTTTCAAGTCGTCAAACAGTATTCCTTAAGTGTGGACCCCAGGTGCAAGCCTGTCCGGTCCCCCCCCCTTGGAGTTTCTCTCCCGTGTAGATGAAAGACCGACCTGCACATCATTTCACCACGATTCACTTGGAAAGTCCTCAAGTCGCTTTCGGCACATCACGCAAATCTGATGGACCTCGTCGCAGACCAATTCTCAACCCAGATGAACGGTGCTGATTTGAACTGCGATTGCTCAGGAGTTGAGGGTCAAACATACTTTGGAGGGTCTCCTCACTCCCAAATCCATCTCCCTGGCGCACCTTGCGCCATGCCATTTGTCCCACAATCTTGGACAGTTGGCGGACAAGTGGCTGGATGGTTATGTCATGGAGTTGGTGCTCTCGATGGCACCTTGGTGGGGCACAAAAGGATGGAACACATGAAAACACAAACGAAACTACGATGCTTTGGGTGGCGATGCCATGTGGAGGCTTGATCTTGGTCGCATGTCGGGGTCCACCCGGAGTCCGTAGCGGAGGCCGAGACCTCCCTGCCTGCTCAGGAGAACATCTTCCTCTACCACATGGTGCTGGGCGCCTTCAAAGTCCCCCCACGGATGGCCCGCTTCGCACTTTTGGTGGTCTCCCTCTTCCAGATGGTCTTCCAAATGCTCCTTGGCGGTCGGGGGTGGGGAGTGGGGATGGGGGGGGGAAGCTGACAAGCTGGAAGCTGCAGGTGACAGGGTGGTGGGTGCTGGGCCCACCCCAACCTCTGGAGGTGGCCGCCCAGTTCCACAAGGGTGCTTAATGCGCTTAATGGAGGATAAGCACTACCTCCAGAACATCCACCCTCTAAGGCTCTAGGGTCGCCCCCCCAAACCCACCCTGACGATCGAACTCCTGGGATGCGGTCGAGCGAAGCCGAGGTTCCTCTTCATGGGCATCGCGGCGCCGGGGGGGTTCTCGGAGCGGAGCGCGCCGTTGGCGTGAGAAGGGCCTCTCTAAATGGCCATGGGGTTTCACTCTTCGGAAGGTCTGCGTATTCTGAAGATGTCAGGAAGTTGGATGTCCAGTTTTGATCCTTCTGGAACTTTTGGGTGAGAGTTCATCGGCTTGAAGAGCTGTTTTCATGAGTTGGCGATAAAGGAAGACATACCCCCCTGGTGTCTCTGCAAGATCCTGTCAACTGGATCCTTCTGGGTGATCGACCTTGGGGGAGAACCGGGTCAGACCCTCCGACCCAGCGAGCCCATCTGGCGGCCATTGCGGCCGGAGGCCATCCATCGCTAGTACGGTATAGGTTCCTTTTTTGCTTTTTCATATCCGTTGGCTAGGGATCGATGTAGAGAGGCCAGTCGGGTTTATCGTTTCTCGGTTCGACTAAGAGTGTGCACGAATCTGTTGCCCAGATTCAACGATTGCTGGTCACTTGTACAACAATTGCTGGTTTGATCGTGGGCACAAGAGGCCGGCACAAGGATTTGGACCACCTTCACCTGCCCTCCCTACTTCACCTGGATGAAGACCTTCGTCTACGTGCGGTTCCGCATGTGCCTTCGGCCGCGCCCGGCCTTCCCATCCGTAGGCCTTCATCCAAGACCTGGAGATCTTGCCATACCTCCTGGGCGCTTGGCTCATCGTCGTGGGGATCCAGACCATGCGTGCCCTGGCGACCGCACGGCGACCCGCCACGTGGCGACCCGCCACGTGGCGACCCGGGGCGGTGCGAACGAAAGCGTCGGGTGGATCGACGCTGAAATCATCATGGGCCAACGTGACGTGGCATGGCCTCGAGTTCGGGTGAGCACTGTTGGAATGCCAAACAGGTGGTTCAGTGAACTCCACTACTTCCACGACTATTTCCAATAACTCCCTCAATATATTTCCATGGGGCCCCATGTCCCTTCTCCTGCAAGCCGCCCCCCCCCAAGACTCTAGATGCAGTCCCTCCATTTCGAGGGAAGAGACGCCGGTGACTCTCATCACCCCTGAGAGAAGGCCAAAGCTGGATGATCTGCACCCACCCCGATGGGTCATTTGTCTACGCATCCAGCCTTCGTTCGCCCCGGAAGATCTCCAGCTCGGCCGAGAACCCCCGCGGGTCGGCGTCTGACGGGTCGGGGGGCTCCCGGTACCACGGAGCGCCAATGCGCGCGGGTGACACGAGGTGATGATGATGAAGAAGGCTGGGTAGGTGGACTTGAGATGATGGATGAGGGTGAGACAGGGCCCCTTCACGGAGTTCTTGGGAGAGAGAGGGCTCTGTTGACGGCAAGCCGTTGACGGCAAGCCACAAGGCATGCACAGGGCCGTTGACACTGTCAAGTGCTATTCACCTGAGGCATTTCTGAGGGCTTTGAGGATTCCCAATTCTGCCTCTCGTGTTTCGACAGCCCTTTGACGACATGGCAACTGGGCGATTAGATGCCCGTTGATTCCTGGAGGAACATGTGCAGAAGGTTGGTTGAGGAATGCCGTACGGCCATTGGTTGCCGTCACATGCTCCACAAGCTGGTCGTTTCCGTGTGCCGCAGACCTAGGTTCCACTCTTTGAGCAAAGACCAGATCAAGGGAGCCCCTAGGTTCCAACCCTCATCTAGACCTGGTTTTGCTTGGGGCCTAGGGTGATTCTTGTATAGTAATTTATGGTTCTCCCTATGGTCCCTAAGTGCAGCACGTCCCATCAAACAGGTGCCACTACGAACTGTCGCAAAATGCATCAATTTCTTAACTCAGCTGATTCAGCTGGGCAGAAATCGACCCCCTTGGGGGGCGCGCACCCCCGAGACCTTACGAATCAAGCACTGAGAGGTCGCCGAGTTGAATCCCCTTCAATATCTTTATTAGTTTATAAAATAATATCATTTATATCCTTTCACATTTATTGCAAAAATACAAATAACCTCTGGCTCGCTTCCTGCTTTTCTAAGAAATCACGTCCCGGTTTCCTGCCGTTTGGTCGACCCCGGCTTCGAGACCTCTCTGCCCTCATGCGCAGGCTTCGACGCCGCCAACTCGGAGGCCTATAAGACCTGCCGCCTGGCGCTGGGCGACCGCCTGCTGCCGCGCTATGATGCGGAGGGGCGGATCTTCGTGTACCAGACGCTTTTCTGGGGGGGTCGGGGGGGCCGACAGGGTGGACGGGGCGTGGTGTCCAACCTGGCGGGTTCACCCCGGAGCCGGAGGCGCCGCGAGGGGGTGGGGGGGAGGGGTTCCGGGTTGGAAGGATGCGGATGACGAGCTGATGTGGTGCAGTCTCCGCCGGCTTGTCGTTGCGACGGAACGGAGGATCCAAACCACATCTAAACATATCTAAAACAGCCTCTGGGAGTTATGGGTTGTGGCCCATGCCGTGGGCCATAGACCATAAACAAGTGAACTCTGGGGTGGGTGTTGAATCATGTTATACGTTGAATCCATTTGTAATCCACTGAAGAGGTCTTTAGGTACTATAAACCAGACTTTTTTTCCGGTCTGGTTTTTCTCACTGAACTCGGTGGTGAACTCCACTTCCATGGGATGTGAGTTGGTTGTGAACTCACTTTGCCATGAAGCGGTCTGTCAGTGAGAGAGGGGATGCTACCGTCCTCCTGGCTGAGGAATGGCAAGCTCTCAGAGCCCCGGCAAGGGAGAGGGGGTGCGTGAGGAGTGGGTGAGGTGCCGGACCCAGGCGAATAGAGATGCCAAGAACGCAGCACTGGAGTACGTGCTAGGGGTTTAGATAGGTTCAGCCTGGTTGTAGTGGGTCTTGGCATGTCTTGGCACCACTTCCATCCACAGGCTGAAATGGGGGATTCTCAAAGAGGTGCGCCCAACCTTGAGCTGGTGGTCGAACATTTGATGCAACAATGGTCAACAGAAGCCGTGGAAAGTGGAAAGTGTCTCCAGTGAAATAGCATTCCTTGTGACCTGAAGGATTCTCAAGGAGTCAACAAAATCATTGGGTGATGTTGTCTTTTTGGGATTTGCCCCAGATTTGCCTGGCAACTGCTGATATATGACCCAAACATACCCAAACACACCAAAGTCCACGGAGTTCATGGTTCCAAGGTGAGCCCCTTCTCCCTTCAGCACCGGACAGGGTGTCACCTCGCTCGCACCTCGCGGTGTCCTGCGGGCTGCGGCGGGCGACGCCGTCCGAAGTCCGAGGTGACGATGATGGGGCCCGTGATTCTGTGCTTGCTCGCCATCATGTTCGCCATGGAGGCCGAACAGCCCGGTGAAGCCGGTGAAGCCGAGGAAGGTGCCTTCACCTGCTGCCCCCTTCACCTGCTCTGGCACACGGGTAAGACCAGAGCTGAGCACGGCGGAGTAGGGGCTCCACAAAAAGAAACGAATGGGTATATGGTTCTCTCCCAAGGGTTCTCAAGCATCTGCGCATTTGCGCATCTGCCCGCTCCATTGTATCCCATTCTTTGGACCTCGGGGTTCCACACCTTTGGACCTCACACAGGTGGACGTGACCTTGGCCAAGATCGAGGAGATTGACAACCATTTCATCGCTTGGTCCTCTTCGGTGCTTGTGCCCTGGACTCCGCAATCCAGCACCGGCTTATACCGGCTTCCAGGGAGCCAAAGCCTCTATAGGGCCTACAGGGCCTTAGGTATTTGGTAGGTGTTTTGAGGTGGATGTCTGGTTCGAGTGGAATGATCGTCACATGGCTCGTACGCCCAGTTCGAGCCTGCGAAGGCTGATGGATGTTCGAGGCGGTGGGTGCATGCGTGGACCAATTCCAGCCCCAACTGCATCAGGGATTGGCTGCGTCCGCGTAAGCCTGGCTGCTAGGACCACCCGACTGCTAGGTAGCTGGGTGAATTGCACTGAGTTCTTGCACAGCTGGAAATTGGTCGATGTTGGCCTTAATGTTAGATAAAAATTGGCCAATGGATTCGGGTTGGGATCGTTGTGATGTTGGCCACGGATACTGTATTTATTTTCCAGAGGGGGCCAGGTACTCCCGGTACAATATAATGGCCTGAAGCAATCAACCCAGTTCTGAGGCACGTTATTTTTCTTCACAAGTCAAGAGCCAATCAGACAGTTGGTTGTTCCTCCGATGAGGTCTTTTTGCCGGAGTGCAAGACTGGGAAGGGATTTACTTGGCCACTGAGCCGCCCAATGGTTTCGCTTTCGAAGAGCAACGTATGTTCGTTTTTGGATTTTTGCTTGGACTCTTAAGGCGAACCTCTTCCTCCAATCTCAGCGAACAAATAGCGTCCCCTCCACAAGGGTTTCCTACATTCATCCAGGGGTCCAGCTGCCACAGTAGTTGCAGGTCTTCTCGTTTTCTCTTTTCATCTTCTTCCCCGCCCTCGCCCACCTCAGGCAGCGTTCGCCTTGCCGGAGCTTTTCGTTGTGGTCTGTGAGCTCTTGAGGTGGGGATCGACTCCGTTTGGCGCTTGGGGGGTGCGACGGTTTAGGGGACGAGAACTGGCCAAAAGCCCGACACTGCCGGCACTCACAAAGGCGGTGTTCGGGGTGACATGTTTGCAGGTTTCAACAAGTCGCCGGGGGGAAACCTCTCCAAGCCCTTCACACATGTAGGGTTGGGCCTTCAGCCACAGAGACCACACCAGGCGCTTCTACCTCTTGAAGCCTGCGATCAGCTTCCTGGTGCAGCTCGGTCCAGTTCAGCGAATTCGCGGCTCCGTGGTCGAAGGGCTTTGATCTTTGGACGCCGGGACCCCGTGGAAAAACCGAGGTCCCACGGGGGGTCCGTGCGTTTCTCATCACCAACAGAGGTTGAAGAACCTTACCACGACACCCTGAACCTTTAAGAGGCTATAACTCAGTAACTAGGCACCCCTTGGGGGACCCTTGTATAAGACTATCTCATATAGGTAGCCCAGGTTTCGGGTCCTTCAGGTCACTGGCTGCCGGGGGGGTCGCGCGTTCTTCGGCGTTCTGTAAGCTAGTGGGAGGCTAGAGCTGGGTGTCTGACAATCTGGAAAAGCACCCGGAAGGTATGGACAAGTGACAAGTGCTACATGTGTGACATCTTCTGTAGTATTTTTCAGCGACTTCCGGATGCCGAAGAGGAGGCAAGTTACGCCAAAGCCGCTCCTTCCTGCCAAACGAAGACCAGCCGCATTCCGCCAACCTGTTCTTCTGATCGTCCGAAGGAAACGACATGCGTGGAGACCTGCTGTGCCCAGGATGTTCTTCGGCATTTTGCTGCTCTTCCGGGACACCATCGAGGCCTTCACCGCGGGTGTAAAAACAAGAAGAGACCGCGGACGGTGACACGGGGCGTGCAGGAGCAAAGGAGATTACTGGCAAGTTTTCTGCAGGTTACTGGTGAGGATGTGCAGCGGTTTCAGCTGCTTGGGGTAGCTTCTTCGGATCTCCCCCGCACCACAAAAATACTTAGACACCACCACGAGTGTGCCTTAAGACCTGCGACCTCCTACTGACTTTTGAACACCTCCCGTTCTTCCTTTCGCCAGGTCGCCAAACACATGGAAGCACCGATGTTTGATAGGGTGGCGACCTATTCTTTTCCAAAACACCAAAGTTTCGACCATCCGGCCACGGAGGTGATTGTTGAAGCAACAAAACTTTAAAGAACACCTTTTCTATCCTTTCCCTGGTTTTCTACTTTCTCCAAAGATTCAGAAGGTCGTTCCCATCCACACTCTTTTCTGAATTGTCTTTGGCTTTGGCTGCTTCGTTCTGGAGTCCAGAATGTTCGTTCTCAGTGATCAGACCAGAAGGCCCATGGCGAAAGTGACCCCTTGGCCTTCAACAGATCCGATGGTTTTCCTTGGCGACTCCTGAGCTGATCCTATGATCCTTGCATCCTCGTAGCCAAGATGCTTTACACCTGAAACCCTTCCTTGCAGCCCGCAAGACAGTATATTTGTCTTTGGTTCTTGTGAACATCAAAACTGCTTGCAGGAGGTGAGTACTGTGTAGAGTTCACTTCAAGGCCAACCTCCGGGGGGTTGCGTTCTGAAGTTCACCGCTCAAACCTGGGCGTTGCTGCGACTCGATACGATACGAGACGACTCTCTCTCTCTCTCTCTCTTGCAGCTGGGTGATGCGGCGGAGCTCAGCGTCATGCTGGGCATCGTCTTCGGCTCCATCCTCGTGTCACCGCTGCTGGGCTATCCCGAACGCTCGGGCGCCAGCTACGACGGCCTGGACCGCGGGTTCCTGCGGATGGGGGAAGGGATCGGAAAAGGGTAGGAAATGTGAGTAGGGTCTAAGGCTTCAGCGGGTGTATAGCCGTATAGCCCAATAAAATGTAATTCAAACACTCTTTATAGTAGGGGCCTTTTGTGCACGCCCGTGGGGGAGGGCTTCTTTGCTGTTTCGTGTTGCATGACTGGGGACACTTGGATCACGCGGGCGCTCTCAGCATTGACTCCACCAACAGAGGTTGCAGAACCCTATAGACTATCCCATAGGTACCCCAGGTTTCGGGTCCGTGTTGGCTCGCCAAGGATAACAGGTACTTTAAGCGGGTTCCAAGATCTTATTCACGCTTGTAGGACTTAGGAACAGCTTATTTTGGTTGATTGGTAAGTACCCCCCTCCCGAACAACGTGTTGACCATCCAATGCCTATGACATCCCCAGCCACTGCTGATGTCTTGCTCATTGTTGATCCTTGCAGGAGGGCAAAAGTGCCGCCGAGACGCTTGGAAGAATGGAAGGTTTTGGGCAGAAAACCCCGCATCACCCAGCGGGAGTTCCATGTTAACGCGTTTCTTGGAAGTTCTTCACCCACAGGATGCAATTCTCCACTCACTGTAAAGGCCACCCCGACTTGGAATTAGCGCATCCCAGAGTATCCAGCTACAGTGTAGTACTTATATAATATACTGTAAACAACTTGCCACTACAACGGTAGTAGGCTGGCATTGTTTCCACCAGACGAGCATCGTAGACTTTGAATGTGTTGCTTCCTTCTGCTTCCTTCAGCGCCATTCCCAGTGCTCCGCATTCCTTTTTTCGCACCGCGCGTTGCGGCACGGTCCCAAAACGGACGCTTTTCCGGTGCCGCGCTCCAGGGTGACGCTCCGTCGGTCCAGGGGCAAGAAGGCCGACGAGGAGTCCATCTTCGAAACGCGCGAAGGGGAGCGTGATGAGGAAGTAGCCAGCAGCTGGGCCAGGACTTGGAGCTGGCGACCGGGATGGGCGACGGTTCCTGCGTTTTCCCCAGTGCACTCTGGGTCATCCTGGGTCCGGTCGCGCGGGGGGTGGTCCCAACGGAGTCCAATATGACGGCCTCTTGGCGTCGCATTTTGGCGTCACACCCACGTGGTGGATTCATTGATAAACCTTGGCAGAGAAGAGGGGTGTCAATGTTCTGTCTCGAGATGAGGGGTGAGGTACAACCGGCACCCCACGCAAATGGGTTCATCACGGTTCATCATGTCCTTTTGTTATTTTTGTTTTTTTCTCCGGAGCTGTCCTTGACCTAGCTGGTGCTCAGGATTCTCAACCTGATAAAAACCATGATCAAGTATATAACTTATATCGTTATATAACCCATGTGATCTTTATCTTCAGTCAGATCTCCACCTAGTCCTTTCCACACGGCCCCTTTCCATCTCTCGCCTCTGGAACGCCGCCGGACTCGAGGCCTCAAAACGGACGCGACCTTGACTCCCATCGATGAGCGGATTGCGGAGGCGGCGGACTCGCCCAAGTGAGCGTGGCAAAGCGAAGGAACGCTCGCCATTGCCAAACGCGCCGGTGAAAGAGATCCGGCACCTGGTGTTTTGGGCCCAAATCTGGGAAAGGACGAAGGTGGCACATGGTCAACGGCAGCGAAGGAGCCGGCCTTGATCGGAGATCCAGAAGTAGTGCCCTTGGAAAGTAACAAGAAAGGGATAGAGAGAGAATTCGAGAGAGAGAGAGAGGAAGAGGAAGGGGAAGAGAAAGAGTTCTTGAAAAGGTGCTGGTACAAGTACAATCGATTGGATTTCACTGTTTCACTTTGATGGTTGACGGTGGATTCCGTTCGTGTTCCCCAGTGTTCTTTTGGTGCTGCTGAATTCAACGCTTGAACACGTTTGAATCAACACCTCCATGCCATTCCACAACTTTTGGTCAACAGTCAAATTGTATTTACGGTCGCACATCTTTCCCGATTGATCGAACAGCCAGTCTTCGGGACTTGGGAAAGCAATGGAAGCACAATGTGGACAGTGATGTGGACCTATTTACGATTTGCCTGTTTTATGGGTGGAATGGTCTTGGAAGGCCAGTTGTCCATTTGTCCTTTGCTGACTTGCGCCCTGAGAGCAGTGGCAGCAGGAGCTGCCCGCAGGCGCCTGAAGTGATGCATCAGCTTGCATAAGTAATGGTCGGTTGACTGGTTGGTGTGTTGACCACCACACAATCAGGGCCCCCCATGATGCCACTACCAAGTGGTTTTTACCGTTGGCGCTTTGGATGTTGGGCGATCACTCTACTCATCGTCTCCCCCTCGGTCGGCCGCTCGGAGGAGGATGGGGTTCGACCACCATCCGGGCGCCCGGACAGGTTGACCTAAGGGGCCAGCGATTTCGGGGGACCTGAACCTGGAGGTGTCTAATTGGTCAAGTGAACTGTGGCTGTTTAATTGGTGATCACCGGTGATCCAGGAGGATTCGATCTACGTTTTGGCTCGGATTTGGTTCAGTTGGCATGATCGCATGGTGCCCACAGGCTTTCTGCGAGTGACCCCGGGGGCCCTTTCCCCTTTTTCTGCCAGAAAGCTGCATTGCCTGCATTGAGAGTGGTTGGAGAAGCATGGAGGCCCCAAAAGCGGCTTGTGGATCGGGGCCTCCAGGAGGTCGAGTGTTCAGGTGTCCATGGTTACTCTGATTCATTTGGTCTCTTGGAAAACCTCCCACTCCAATCCAAACTGAAGCGAGCACAGGAATTCTGCGAATATCGCCTTGATGTTCATTTTTTTGAACCGCTTCCAGGACCCTTCAGATTGGCGGTGGTTGCACCCGACAGCAGGTGGTTTCTGGACACCTAACTAGTATCCGCAAGGTAGAGACAATAAATAGTGTTACCCTGCCCCCAACAAACATGGAAGTGGAAAAAGCACTGTTGTGGAGGAAAGTGGTCTTCCAAGGGGCGTCTACTTCCATGATTGTTTGATGATTCATGCCGAACCAGCGGCTCAACGAAGATATGCGAAGATGAACGGCCTGCTTGCTGACCATGCTCCTGCACAGAAGCGGAGAAGTCTGACCTCTGCACTTAGCACCCGCGCTACGAGCTTGTGGTGTGTCAGTGACGTGAAAAATAGACGGTTCGAGGCGGCACCTGTGTTTTGGCTGTGTGTCGGGGAGTCTATCCCCAAGACTATACTTCAAGAAAAACCTTAAGATGAAAGTGATGAGGCTTTATGGAAGGCGCAAATGATGCACTTCTCCCACCAAAGACCGAGGGTATATAGGACATAACATCATATATATCTATAATTATCTATATATATATATTATATCTATATCAATATATTACTATTATTGAACGTTATTATTATTCTTACTATTATTGCATATACATATATATAAGTCAAAACTGAAGATTGTACACTAGCTGGTGTTCCTCCACATCTCTCATTCAGCTGTTGGGGTCCTGGTCACTGGTCTGCTAAGGGCCGTGGGGACCGAAAGAAGGAGATCCGAACATCCGCGGCTTCGGGACGCATCGACCTTCGGGCTTCGGGCTTCGGCGGATCGGTACTCAGTCGTCGGTTCGGCGCTCAGTTCATCGACTCAGTCGGGGGGGATTCGGCGTCTCAGGAGGTCTGTGCTTTCTTGGGCTTTTCGGAGGGATTTCGGTCTACTCCTCACACTCACTCAGATGCCTTTTCTTTTTTTGGGCAACGTGTCACATTATTTATATTAATGTACCCGCAGATCGTGTTTTCGGATTCCCGGCTCGTTTTTTGGATGTGTGATGTTCGTTTGCCACCCCACCAGTCAGTCAGCGTTTTGCCTTTGTTTTTTGGGGGCCCAGTGTGCCAGATGTTGACATGATCATCTGGCTTCAGCATGCTTCAGTTGTCTCCCTACCAATGGATCCAAGAACCAAGTCGCATACATACCTGGAGCATCTAATTATAAAGTGTCTCCACCTTAGACTCCTTGGACCACCCGAACCACCTAAACCACTATCGGTCCCAAGCAGTCGACCGACAGGTGGTGCGCTTGGCCAAGCCCACGGCGACGGTGACCTACGTGGGGAAGGCCGGGGGTTCGTGTGACGGAATGGTTTGAAATCAAGAGCCTACGTACGCGAACAGCCTACAGTCTACAGAGTCTACAGTCTACAGAGTACAAGAACATTTGTTTCAGGATCCATTCACCGCAACCCGCCCCTTCTGCTGGATGTTGGGCAGACGCGGATCGCGCCCTCTTCGGAGCTGGCGGGTCGCGTGACTCGCGGCCTTTTCTCCGGCGGAGATCTGATGTGAAGGGATGAGAGGAGTGCGCTGAACAGCCTCCAGCTGGGCGACCCCGAACAGTCTCCAGCTGGGAGACCCCATGATTTTTTGGGAAGAAGCGCCCGTTTGGCCGGTTGGGGTCGGGTGTCGCCTTCGAAAGGCCGAGCCGCTCGGCCGCGCCACGACTCGGCTCGCCGTGACCGCGAAAAACGCACGACCGGGCGGCAGGGCACCGATGTGAGCACGGCGAAGATGAAAGTGCAGCAGGACCGGCTGGGACTGTGTCGAGGGGAGCCAAGGGGAGGACCGCCGTGACGTGCACCCGGAGACGGTGAGTGGATGTGAGTGGGCCAGGATGACATCTCTTCCCAGCTGGTGGCTTTGGCCAAGGAAGGGAAGTCCGTGTCACCTGGCATGAAGGGGGGCCAAATATGGCAAAAGTCATTGGAAAGCATGGCCATGAGACAGAGAGGCAGAGAGAGACTGATATAGCACACACACACACACATACCGCACGCACAAACACACACACACACACACCACAAATCTTATACGGCATAATATGCAACAATACGATACGTATACGATTTCTTTTCAGAGTGCTATATGATTAGCCAAACCTGAAGAATAGAAGAACTTGCAGAATATTAAGATTTTGCATATTCTAGTTGAAACTGCTTTGGGTGCGCGCAAAACAGTTGAAATAGAAGAAAGGGGCTTAGCCGGAGCGTCAAACAGGTGTTATATAGCTACTTTTGCAAAAGCCACTAAATAGCCTCATATCTAATATCTTCTATTTAAAACCTGTCCTGTGAGGTTCATCTTCTATTTGAAATGCTTGTTTTGTATTCTTTATTCTATTTCTATTTTGGGTCCATGCAGATTGTTTTCTTCATCGCCGGCCCGTCGTATCAGCACTGCAGATGGCACCTCTGGGAAATATGCAAGCATAGAGACAATGACATAGATAGATAGATAGTTAGATAGATAGATACTCATGACAGAACAGCAAGATGGAGTCATGGGGTAGGAAAAAGGCTGCTTTGCACTCATGTACAGATAGAAGATGTTGCCAGACTTTTGTTGCGCCACAATAATAACACATACATTCTTTCTATTTGACGTGCTTGGTTGCTTTGGCAATATCTTGCAATTTACATTTTTTTGTTACTCTGCTATCTTTTGGATCTGACCTTCAGAAAAGGCTAAACAACTCGAGGTGTTTTACCGTTTTGTTCTGGGATTCTGGAATTCTTGGATGTTGCACTTGGTCCTCTGATTTTTGGGTTTAACGTCAAACTTCTTCTGTCCCGGCTGAATTTTGGACATGATGCTGAAAGATCGGCCAAAGCTTAAGGAATTCACGGTATCCATGGAATCCTGCTTCTCTGGCATCAGATCTACAGTCGACCATTTAAATATAAGCTATTGGAGGTCAGCGTGCCCAAAAGCATAAAAAAAAAAGGACCTCTTGCTACATGTAGTTTCTTCTATTTGGTTTCCTTGCTTGGAAACCACCAAGCATGCACCTTTGAATTGACATATTCAATACATTTCTTCTAAAATAGAATGCCGGACTATATATCTTCTTTCATGCCCAACGCGAGGTTCAGCGCGCCCCGAGCGCTCCGCCGAGGTGTCGGCTGAAGGGGGGCGACCCGAGCATCTTTGGCCGCGTCGGCGAGGAGATGGAGGTGCCATGGGTGGCGAGGTGTTTGTCGGCGGTGTTGGGAGGTTTCGTTTCGATGTTTGTTTTTTTGGGGGCAGGTGGAAATCATAGTGTAGTGTGGAGGAAGATGTCATAGATTTTTGAGATGTCTTGAGTCTTTGGCCATTGTTTCAGGAGTGAAGAGTGTAAATCTAGGCATTATAGCAGTACCACTCTTTTTGGCTGCTTGGGCTGCTCTTTTTTGGTGAGCATGCCCTCGAAGTCCTCAACCAGAACTCTGAATTTCGATACGTAGATCCCCCCGAATTCACGCAAGATCCGAACTCATTCCACAGGAGCTGTGTGCTGGGGAGGTGCCCTTCGAAGTGGTGCCAGCGGTGTTTTGGCGCAGCCGGTGGGAGCACCGAAACGAAGGGGTAGGAGCTGGTGCGGCAACAAGGGGTGACAGTCTTATAGGCCCTTGGTAGAGATGGACCATGGCCTTTGGGAAGGCGAAAAAGCCTTCCTTCTCCAGGTGATTTGGTCGCCACTTCATGTCACCTAGACTTGTTGGTTGGGGGTGCTCAGGCCAGTAGCTTCCTATGAGATCTAGGAGGCTTTCAACCAATTTGCATCGCAGCTCGTGAGCCAGACAAAGCATCCCACAGGGCTGGGTACTACCGTAGATGGACGAAATATTCAAACCCTTCCAGCCACGTGGACCCCTTCTACCCCAAAGCTCAATGTTAGAGATCTTGCAAGTGTTTCGGCGAATGGACGACACAAATCAAATCATGTTCAACATTGACCTTTGGGGGTCAGGGGTTGACGACAGTTATTGATACAGGGGTTTGAATATTTGGTCCATCTACTGTAGTATGTGTGAACAAACCTGACTGTGCAAAGTTTAGAGTAGCTCAACGACAGGGGCCTAGAAGTGTGCGGCATGCAACATCATGTGACTTGTGAGATATATATATATATAGGAACCGCACGGCTGGTTTTCTTTAGGTAGTCTAGTGAAGCGGAGTTGACCTACATCATACATGATAGACCAATAGTCTTTTAGGCGCACTGTTTAAAGTGACGCTTGTGCTGTTTATCCTGTGGAACTGTTGCATTAAACTCAGTGAGCCCGGCATTTCACTGCCAGTGGCTACTTCCCTTTCATCTTCAATGGCTTCAGATTTGGTGCCAATCTGCGATCATTTTCCTCCCTTCAGCCTCCACACTACCCAGGTCGAGTCTTTGGGTGTTGTCACTCCGCCATCTGAGAGCTCTGCGGTGTCTCCCATTGACCAAGGTCACCGCGTGCCTGGCGGCCAGCGCCGACGCGCGCGTGCCCTTGACCTTCCGGAACTGTGCCACGGCGGTGCGAGCTGCTTGGCGGCGAACTCGCCGCGTGTGGCACGATGGGGTGGTGGGCCGGGCCGAAGCTGGGGGAGGAGGCGAGGTGAGCGAGAGCAAGAAAAAGGACGGGTTTGGGTTAGGCTGGCAGGTGCATCTCTCACTCTAGCAAGATGGTGGGGTTTGGGAATGTCTCAATGCCTTGTTGGGGGCCGCTTGTCCGGAAGAAGGGGCACAAGTGGGCATAGTGGTGAACATGTGCAATTGGAATATATTATAAATTAGCTTTCCGATGCCAAGCTGCTCGAGCTTCTTGCAAGGGAAGCCATGGTGGTCACGGTGAAGTAGTAGCCTTTCCACAATACTCTTTGGCAGTCTCCGGTGCTCGTCCCAGTTCCGGGAAATCCGAACCAATCTATTCATTTTCCTGCTCTCGGTGGCGCGCTTGAGCCATGTTACGCCTTCTCTCAGGTGCAAACCATGAACCCGTCGACCATCAAGGATGAGCGCTTTGATTGGTCGCAGTTCGCAGCGCCTGGTACGACCTTCGCGCTCTACATGGGGCGGGGGCCCCAAGCGAGTCCGAGACTTGGGTGGGAGGGCTCCCTTTGCCTGTTTGATGATGGCTCTTGCTTTGTGAACTTATGGGACTTAGTGATCATCTGGCCACGTCAGTCATCCACTAAATATCGAAAACCTTGAACCCTGGGAATCACGGAAACCCGGCCTGCCCAGCTTCACGAGTGGAGCTCTGACCGATCAGATCTGGACGACCGAACTTGAACGACCTTGATGGTGTCATACTGTAATACCATATGTTGAGTGGTTGGCCAAACCCCAGGCTAGTGCGGAATTCGTGCGGAATTCATGGAGTGAAGACGCAGAACGCACAGGACTTCGAATCCTTTGCCTTGTTCGAAGGCATTTTGAACCACTGCCTGCCCAGTCCTAGCACCAGCCAGGCTGAATGTGGTGGAAGGCATGAGGGCTACTGTGCAGTGGTGATTCTTTGACTATATAGACGGCACTGTCGCCCAGCTTGCTCATTGGAAATGTGGATCCACACGTTTGTCGCCTTGTGTGGTTGCCTTTGGCCTATGAAACATAATAGGACGACACTGGGATATTTGGCCACTTGAATGGGTGCCCCTGGGCCGTTGTGTTAGTAGGTTGCATTCATGGTCCATATCAACCATTTCAAGTCTATCAGGAAGGAGTAGCTTGGCCATGGGCGTTGGATGGCGTTTTTTTCTGATCGTCGAGCCACGTCGGCATTCCATCGAAGGGTCTACGGAAGCTTGGTGACCCAGGTACTTTTCTCCCGGCCAAGCTTGCTCACCCCCGGTGGTAGAGCACCAATACAGACATACCGACATAGATGAAGCGCCCAGCACGGGCGGTGGGGTACAATCCACCAACAACACCGAATCGACGGTGGCCTCCATTCGCTTTCACAGGCGTCACGCAGAAGATGCTGTGCGCGGGCGTGGCCCCGGCCCCTTCGCAAGATGCGCTTGGAGTCGTTGAAGTCAAGGCTAAGGTAATCCTGGTCGTTTGGAGTGTTGCAGAGTTGGTGTTGGGGTGATGACCTGGTGCTTTTAAGGACCATGACGGACCATGTCCCCTCCCTTTCCGTGGCGAGCTGGGCGAGCTTGTGCTCGCTGACCCGAGGGGACGCCCATGGCTTTGGTGGACCGCGCCTCCTTGCCAGAGATGCAGGCGGCTCCGGTGCTCTCCCGGAGTGGCCGCGCGGAGGTCGCATGAGGTCGCTCAGGTCGCCAAAGGAGCTCTTGGTTCATTTTTGGAGAATTGGGAGTTGGAATTTGGATGTGGAAGACACCGCGACACCGCTTCAACTCTTGGACCTAGAGCGGAACTTTGAAACCCCTTGGATTCCAATGTCTGGAGTCTTTTTCAGCTTCAACCCATCGATTTCAACGTCTTTCTTTCGATTGGTTGACTTCACATCCGCTGGACTCTTGCAACATCCAGTCCCAGCAACGCTGAGTTCATACGTATCTTCGCACCCGGGTTTGCGCCGCTGGAACAGCAGGTGGTGGCGGGGACGGTGGAGACCTTGCCGGAACTGGTCACTGGACTGCAGTAGGCAGGACAGATCAAAGTGGCACGAGATTGGTCTGGCTTTGGAAATCAGTCTCGTCAGTGTGTTCAAGCCAGGCTTGGGGCTGGGGGAGTGTGGGATTTGGATGGATTTGGGTGCAGGCCCCGCTGCTTCACTGCAGGTTGGTGATGGATTTCCTGTTTGGCACCACCCCATTGACATTCATTGACCCCAACTTCCAACTCCTCGGGCTTTTGCTGGGCGGTTTGATGTGGTCCCACCTGTGACAGGGCGCGTCCGGATGGTGGCTGAGGTGAAGGAGCGCAGCGACCTGCCAGGCCCTGCGTTGATCTTGATGGGTCGGGGTACCGAGCACAGCGGGTCTGGCCTGCTTGGACCGCCGGTCGCAGGTCTTCCCGCTGCTTCCCGTCGCGGGTGTTTCTTTTTTCTGCGAGTTGGGTGTTTGGCTCATCCGCCGGAGTGTTGATCTGTGTCGGATGGGTGTCAGTTTTGAATCTCTGGATTCCACTGGTCCACTGGATGATCTCTGAGGAAGAATCGGAACAATTGGTTGCTGAATTATTTTGGAGTGATTTTGTTTGTACAGCTCTCACATATCATGCACTACACCTGCTTTGCTTGCGAACTAACATTGTGGGGGAGGATGAGGGAAGTGTCCTGTGTCGGGCCCATCGACATTCATCGACTGGGTGAGGCGGAGAAAAAGAGGCGACCCTGGGTTAGAGGGAATGGTAGGACCAGTGGCTGAATGGGTCCGGCTTTGCTCTTCCGCCCAAATCTCATTATCAATTGATTTATATCGAGGTTCGAGTTGACCTTGGCCTGCATTTCGGTTTCTGGGCAAAGGCATGTTCGTTGCGCGACATGTTCGGTGCCTTCTCTCACAGAAGGTGCTACCGCTCCCTTCCCCCCCGAAACCGGTTGGGGGGGCTGGGCTGTGTGGTGCCAGCAGCGAGGCAATGGGACGATGGTCCAAACCGATCATATCGAACTCCGAGTCGACGAAGGTTGGTCTTAAAATGACATCAGAATCAACGTATTGTAAGGGCTCCGCCCGGGTGCCGCCGACCCCTTTTCATCTCGAGGGTTTGGCGGTTGAACCTTGACAACTTCCTGGGATTCAACAGCGAGACTTGGATGGGCTTCACACCAATGCTGGCATTCAACCAGCTGCCGAGAAGAGGGCAAGGCTGCGGTGAGGCTCTGGGGAGCGTTTGAAGCCGAGCCAAAATGCCTAACGTTGCCTTCGGAAGCCCATAAGAAGAGAGGAGGAGGCAGGCTTCGGACAGGCCACAGAGAGGCCGCAAGAGGCCTGCCGGCTGCCGAGAGGCTTTTGAAGCCGGTCCAAAATGCCTAACGTTGCCTTCGGAAGCCCATAAGAAGAGAGGAGGCAGGCTTCGGACAGGCCACAGAGAGGCCGCAAGAGGCCTGCCGGCTGCCGAGAGGCTTTTGAAGCCGGTCCAAAATGCCTCACGTTGCCTTCGGTAGCCCATAAGAAGAGAGGAGGCAGGCTTCGGACAGGCCACAGAGAGGCCGCAAGAGGCCTGCCGGCTGCCGAGAAGCTTCGGACAGGCCACAGAGAGGCCGCAAGAGGCCGAAAAGCTTTTGAAGGCGGTCCAAAATGCCTAAACGTCGCCTTCGGAAGCCTGCCGAGAAGAGGGCAAGGCTGCGGTGAGGCTCTGGGGAGCGTTTGAAGCCGAGCCAAAATGCTTAACGTTGCCTTCGGAAGCCCATAAGAAGAGAAGAGGCAGGCCTGCCAGCTGCCGAGAAGAGGGCAAGGCTGCGGTGAGGCTCTGGGGAGCGTTTGAAGCCGAGCCAAAATGCCTAACGTTGCCTTCGGAAGCCCATAAGAAGAGAGGAGGCAGGCTTCAGACAGGCCACAGAGAGGCCGCAAGAGGCCTGCCGGCTGCCGAGAGGCTTTTGAAGCCGGTCCAAAATGCCTAACGTTGCCTTCGGAAGCCCATAAGAAGAGAGGAGGCAGGCTTCGGACAGGCCACAGAGAGGCCGCAAGAGGCCTGCCGGCTGCCGAGAAGCTTCGGACAGGCCACAGAGAGGCCGCAAGAGGCCGAAAAGCTTTTGAAGGCGGTCCAAAATGCCTAAACGTTGCTTTGGGAAGCCGATAAGAAGAGAGGAGGCAGGCTTCGGACAGGCCACACAGAGGCCGCAACAGGCCGGCCAGCTGGTGAGGCCTCGGACAGGCCTTTGGAAGTGCTTGGAAGGGTTCTGCTAGGCTTGGCCAACTGCTGCATCCTGCGCCTTTGGAAGTGCTTGAAGGGTTCTGCTAGGCTTGGCCAACTGGCCAACTGCTTCACCCTGCGGTGTCCCAGGCGCCTCCCCGCCTAGGCTTTGGCTATAGGCCGGGGTCGGCGGATTTTTCAAGGGCTAGGTTTAGCAATTGCACCCTAGAAATCCCCAGAACATTCTGGAGAATCCAAGGCTTTTCCTAGAACTTATCCTGATCCTCCAAGAAAAAATCAAGATGTTCCTTGGCGAATGTGTTTTCATTTGCCTTTGCCACCTCGCGCTTCAATATTTACACTTCCACTTCCACTGGCACCCTAAAACTTGGAAAAGTCTAGGATAGTCTGGGAAAAGTTTTGAACATCATGAAACAACTGGGAAAACCGAAACCAGGCTAGAACAATCCATGAAGGTTTCAAACATGGAAAACCAGTATCAAACTTATATAAATGATGGGTTGGTAAGACAGTGCCAAGGGTCCTTCAAGCCCTTGAAAACTTTTGTGGTCCCGGTTTAGGTATCTGATCTGGGTCTTCTTTGTTTTTGCGCACATGCATTTGATTTGTTTCTCTTTGGCAAGTTGATATGATATGAGTTCATGTTATAGAAAAAACATAGACATAGATTCTCAGATCAGATCAAGTCTTAATTCCAGAAGCTGGGCGGAGCCGCACGAGGTGAAGTGGTTGGGCTGCGCGAGCGCATTGCAGGCACCGGGCGATGAACGCCGGGCAGCTGATGGGAGATCAGTGACACCCGCATACATACATACACTCTCGTACAGTATATTTGTATTATGTGATATAATAAACCTATAAGTAGAGGACAGTCACCTGAGAGGTTTGGTTGACTTCTGAAGCTCGCCGCTAGGCCCCGCTAGGCTGGGGTCACCATAGTCGGGTACTAGCTCATCTATCCAGCTACAACTCGTCTAGCCTCCTGTCTGGGCCCTATTCCGGGCTCCGGCAAAAGGTTTGCGCGCTCCAGTGCCCACGCTGGGCCAACCGGCAGCTGGGCGCACACGTGGGATGTGTGGGATGTGTGGGATGTGTGGGATGGTGGGATGTGTGTGCGTGATGCTGTCATTTTTCCGTGTTGGAAGTGACGAAACAACGCCTCTCGATCGAAGGACACATGCCAAGCGTCATGCAACATTGCGGCGTGTATATACTCAAAATCCTTAACAACTGAATTTTCTGCAATAACCGATCGGCTTTGAGCCCGAGCTCTTGCTAGTATCTGGCATATGTAAATATTAGCTCCAACATATGTTTAACACATATTTGACTCGTTGCCTCTCGGAATGAAAGTAAGAAAGTGTTTTGCAAACCATTGCAAACCGCACGCCTATTTAGGAGAAGCAAGGACCAAAGACACTTGAACTGTTCGGTCTTAAAGACATAGAGCCAGCGGGAGTAGATACTGTAGCCTCTTAAAGACATCGTTTGGGCAAAGTCACCATCAACGGGAGGAGTAGACCACATGATTGTGTTGTTTTCTCCTTTACATGAACCCCGTGAGCATAGTGTTGCACAGTATTGTGCCAATATGATCCAATATGTGACAATCGTCGATAGACCATCCTACAATATAGATTTCCCTTAAAACGTGGCCCTTAGGGTGTTTTTTTCCTATGGATAAATCCCTTCTTGAGGGAAAAAGAACTCGATTTTCCTGGTTTCTTAAGCAAATCCCAGAAAAGCCGAGCTAGGGTTTCCTTTGTGTGCGAGGGTGTTCCCTCTGGTCCCAAGGTCCTGAATGACGACATGCCACACGGGGGGAGCTGGGATCCCTTGAAAACCCCCCGGAGCGGGCTGGGTCCCAGGGAATGCTGACAATATATTGGATTAGTGGATGGAGAGTAGATGCGCAAGGTGGATTATATGGACCCCCAGCTTTTCAAGACATGTTGGGGTGCCAGTGCCATCGAACCTCTGAAACCACGGCACAGACAGGGATTTACTCTGTCCAGAACTTACGAGGAACCATTTTTTCAACTAACTTCCTTGTTAAAACATTTAGTTATAGTTGGTATTGTTTTAACTTCCTCGTTTGTCATTTCAGGCCACGTTTTCAAAATCACCCAGGCTATAGCCTCGGTCTTGGCGCAGCTGCCTTCTCTCAGCTCAAGCCTAAGGGGATGACATGGAGTCACACTGGACCTGTGCAATCGGTTGTTTCTCCCTATAACATAGCCCGGTTCTTCCAAGGGGCATCGGTGACCCCCCTTGGACCGGTAGAAAGCAAGCCACACGGTGACCCTCAAAACATGGGGCAGCGGGGTTCGTCGTATGTTGGAGATCACGGATGGTATACCTGGAGACTTCCAGAGCGTTTGGTGCCCTGATTGTCAGAGTTGAGGAGTCACAGCAGTTGCGAAACCAGTTTTTGGTTGATGGACGCCGCTCAAGTCTTGACAAATGCTTCAGGGATAAGTTGAAGGAGAGTGCTGACATTGATGGATTCCAAAGTCTCACTTGGCCTCAATATTCTGCAGGTACAGTGACTCCAGAGTACAGTCATCCCACTATAGAAAGCGCCACCATTCCCTCCACGACAGTCTTGAACATCGTGTCATGCTCCTGGGTACCTCTTTTCTCATCGCAGAAGCCCACCCAACAGGTGATCTTCATATGTGGGTCCTCTTCCGCCCTTTGAGAAATGCATGTTCCGCCCACTCACCCACCCATCCCAAGGGCCGTGACGGCAGGACCTTGATAGGCCCCCGGTGAACAGGGGTGTCCCCCCAACCAGGTCAACCTACATAGGGTTTTGACACGCGGACTCACGACTGGCGAAAGTGAAAGTGAAACGGACTCACGACTGGGCAGAGGAAAAGAGGGGCTTCCAGGGGCTCATGTTGAGCATTTCTACCCATTTCCATGGGGTTTGTTTTCGGGATTTGTAGCGCTGTGTTTCGTTACAACGGCTGGGCACTGCCCACGGACTCATGGGCTTTTTTGGAAACTGGCATCTTTTGAAGGTTCTTGAGGAGGAAAGCTAATATCCAAAATCCCGATCCCAATCGTGCCGTATCCACCAGTGTCCAATATGATAGGAGCTTGTGAGGGATCCGAGTCCTCCGGTTCCTCCGAGTCGACTGTGCTGAAGAATCAGATGATGTCCCTGGACCTTCAAGGGGTGTCCAAGGGAGGTCCCTTAGTAGTGTAGGAGTGTAGGGGCTTCCATTGGTGACCCTTTTGAAGGTGCTGGTCCCATCGGCAGATGCTGAAAATAATCAACGCTCGGGAGCAGCTCCCCTCAGCGGCGACAGCTTGCGAGAATTGGTCTTGCGAAGCGAGGGCCTGCGTTCATGATTTTAGGGACACCATAGAATGATCATTTCATGCCCATGAACGCCATTTGAGTTACTGTACCCCCATCACCTCGCAGCAGAATGAGGTGATGACGAGCTCAGGCTGGGACATGATGATGACCGCTCTATTCGCAGATGTCGGGGCTAAGGCTATTTTCTGTGGACTGCTGGCAGTGCTCATGACTTGCGGGCCGGGAGCAATGTCCCCTTGTTGTTCTTCTTCTCTCCAGGTTTAGTTCTTCTTCTCCACTTTGTCGGCGAATGAAAGGATCCCAAAGTGACACCAGCAGATTAGGAGGAGTGTTATGTTCACTGGAGTGTCTTTACCCAGGCTTCAGCCCCCTCCCAATTTCCGATACCATGCACCCTCACCATGGAAAGGACGGGTCGACAACAGATACCTTGCAGTCACACGGGTCGAACCTCTCGAGGATAGGGCATTGTGCATCACATCACCGCCCACACAGGGTGGGTTTAAAGACCACGACCGATCTTTGGAGAGGATGGCCGATCATTGCAACGGTTATAAGAAGTGACCTTGGGGTGGGATCGTCTATAGGGTTCTGACGTCGATCGCCTGCCGCCTGGCCGATCAACTTGAGAGCTCTCCACGAACTTCCGGAAACCCTTTTTCGCTGACTCGAATGGGCCCTCGTCACACGGAGACTGAGACTTCTTTTGGGCTTCGAGGATGATCCAGGAATGGTTTGTTTTCGGTATGGGTATCCGAAAGAATACTCCCTAGCCCCGCAGCACCAACCAACAGTTTGCCCATGTTCGGCCCTCCTCCCATGTGCTCCACGTGGCGAGGCAGCTGCAGCAGGAGGTGGAAGAGACGCGCCAGCAGAGGAAGCGGAAGCGCGAGGAGCTGGAGGCCGAATCAAACAAGTGGAAACTAATTATATATAGTTATATACTATCATTGAACACCAGCAGAAAACGGCAACGGATATTTCAGACAAGTGGACACGGCTAAGCTTTTTTGTCCAGAGAACATTCTCCACGCATCAAAATGCAATGTTGCAAACGAAAGTGGCGAGAGTGGCTAGAGCTCACTGCTTCAGAATGTGAGGAACCTTTGGTATATTGAAAGATGTCCTTTTTAGTCAAAGTTGTCCTTCACTCGCCTGAAGGCCAGCTGAAATGGATGCCGCCGCGCGCATGTGTGCGCAAAGAACGTTCAACTGCACTGATCGCGCTGCTTCCCTGCGAGCTGGGGTCGGTTTCAGACAAGCTTTTGACATGTATGAAAACTTAGATCCAGTTGTGCCTGCCACCGTGAAGGGTTCTGTTGGTCGACAGCTTCGCAAAGAGTATCTAGCGGAGTCAGAGGATGTGGGTCCAGTGTGGGCAAGGCAACGTGTCGCGGGACATGCGCATCGACTCGCCATGCATGAAATTGCTCCCTCCAACTTCGAGCTCAACAGACATCGGTTTTCTGTCTTCGTCTGGAACGCTGGCAATTTGCATCGCATGGGTCGGCTACCACTGACGCAGCGTAGTTCTCGTAACCTCATCAGCGAGTACATCTTCAGCGTGCACAGTCAAGTCTCGCGGTTCTGCACTCCGGATGAGGCTGAGGAATGACATCTGACCGCGCGTCGGCATGGCCCAAAAATGCCTGGCCAGCTGCGCACCGACGTGATGACATTCAGGATCCACCCGAGTCGGAACACTTGGGAACTTCCGAAAAGCAGTGACTTGCCCGGTCCAAGCCTCCGATGGCCCGGTAAGGCCGTCCGAGTCAGCTTCCGTCCTCACCTTTTTCACTGAGTGACCGCGACCGGAAGCCGGCAGCTGGACGTCGGGGTCTCCGAAGTGGGGGGGACCGGGGGACCGTAAATGGTGGACTTGAGCCACAGCCTCGAAGACAGAGGAGAGGCATGCCCAGCCCTTCTTGGAACGGGTGATAAAATTTTAAAGAGGGATTGCAACTCCAACCCCTGTGACCATGTGTGTGGCTTGGGGGAGTCCAGGAGTGAGAAGCAGTAGCGCAGCTCAGGAGGTTTGACAAGATGACCTCACACAGATGAGAAGTTCATGGGATTTCTATTCTTTTAGCATGAAGTGTTCCTCGCAGTTCCTTGTGACATTTTATGAAGGGGGTGGAGTTAATCAGCTAATCCAAACAAGGTCTGGACATGCTGCATAGAAGGCTAGAAGTCTATGTGGGGGACGGCCACCCACAGTGACTCCAAATAAGGTTCTGTTTTCATGCCATCCGACGAGGTCAGCGGGTTCCGGCTCCACTGGTTCAAGCGTTGTCCGACTTCCACGGATCGAACTCCAGAGTGGACGAGTGATACAAGCGTACTGTTTGCATAAGCCTCCCCATAAGTAGAAAGTGCGCCCACCCCCCTGGGGCATGACGAGGTGATCTAGACAGAAGTAACGATGATATAGGTCGGAAAGACACCGCAAAGATCCCCAGACTGCGCTTGAGAAGTGAACAGGCCTGCAAAAAACAAACAAAGGCGACTGACACGACTCGTGGGAGCTTAACCTCGGAACGTCGAGGTGCCTGAGATGATTCCCAAGGAGCTCCGCCCAGTTCCGTGGCGCAATCGCCCCCTGGATTGGCGCACCATGCGCCTCGCCATGGCCCCGGCCATGGCCAGATAATCGATGGAGCTCCTCTTTGGCAGACGCGCGGCAGCAGTGGTGTGGTTTGCGGGAAGCACCTCACACATCCTAATGTCGGACCGCATGGGAGCCCTGCATGTTTGAGCCCTGGGCCAATGTGAACCACCAACAACTAGTCAATTACTAGTTTGGAGCATGTTGGTAACAGGTTGATTCTCATCCTGCTCTGGATTTTCACACGTTTGCAAACGAAGTGGTTCTTCGAGAAAATGGCGTGCCGACCCCCGATCAGGCGGAGATGATGACGTGTCTGATGCGCCAGGTGGGAGGGGACGTCTGGATACGTCTGGTGGAACCTGAAACCTGGGTCCAGTTGTTTTCCGTTCGCTTGGGACGTGGGAGATGGGAAGAGCTACTCCTTTTGGCAGCAGAAGCTCCAAAATAAGTCCCTCAACGCTCCACGCAATCACGAAAGAAAGGAAAAAGATGGAGAGAGCATCTACCAACATCCTCCAACAGGTTAGCAATTGAGACCTGTTGGGGCCCAAGAACCCTCTAAAGGCAACCTTTTGGAGGATGCTGGGAGTCTTCTAGAATGTAGCCTTCAAAATAGGTCTCCCTCTCTAAGGTTTGTGGGCGTATGTTTGTGCTTCACCTTGAGCGAGGCTTTGTGAGAAGGACAGCGCGTACCATCATCGTAACATATCATAACCACTTGGCCTGATTGCTGCCGCAGATACGGGAGCCTTCCCCTAGACACCAATATCACAAAATTGCTCAATCCCAAAGACACTGTGCGTGGACCGGTTTGGAGCACATGTACCTCTTGAAGCGGGCCTCGCGTCATCTGCCCGCGAGCCCACTGGACAGGGTGATCCTGTTCCACTTCGATCCAATGCCCAACGCCGCAGGCGCCGCGCCGGAGGCTGCCCCGCCGCCTGCAGCCGCCGGGGACTTCTTCGGGGCGGCTGTGACACCCGTGCTGGTGGAGGCAGCCTTGGGGTCAAGGATGGTCAAGGTGTGGTAAATGGGATGGACAGGGCAAAACGAAAAAGGCTGACTGGTGCTCAGGAGGGAACGAGGGAATGAATCCAAAGGAATCTCTATCGGATGCCCATTCGTACATTCTCTACTGCCCAGGTTTGGTTGCTACGCAGGCATTTGTCGCTCCTGACTTGTGCCAGCAGCGTTGGCTCTCACTCTTTGGGCGAGCTTGGGCTATGCCATTTTGCAAAGCCCTGAGCCGACATGTAAAGCTCAGTCGCCAGGTAGCAAGCGCCCCCCAACGAGTTGTGCTTGGATATCGAACTCTTTGGGCCCCCCAACTCTTCACCCTTGAGGAGAACCCATCGACTCCTCGCTTCGATCCGGCGCTCGAGGGAGCGGTCCGGGCTTGTCCTGAGCGAGCGAGCGCGTCCTGTGCGGGGTGCGAGCAGGCGGAGACGCCCTTGCAAGCACAGCTGAAAGGTGGGGGGGCCCTGGGAGGTGGACGAAACGACTTCTCGGAAGCCACCTGGGGCAGAGGGAGAAGGTCGTAGAATGGCGCAATTCGACGGTGTGGATCTGAAAGAGGGAGACCACCAACCAATTGGGTCAAACTCAGAGGTCTCGCATCACTTGTGTGATCCAGAGTCAGTGTAGTCATGCTGCGCTGTGCCACTCTTCCCTGGTAGGAGTGGGGGTTGACCACCTGACCCGGCCGCTTTTTGAAAACAAGGTATAGCTCAGATAGCCTTGCAGAACTGAGGTAGATGGAGAGTTTGAAGTTTGGTGGCAGGAGTTTGGAACTTTACCAAGTCCAGCAGGCCATGCAGCAGTTGCGGTTGGCCTTGGAGTTTTTTTTCCCTCTTTCCTGCTGATGAACATGGACTGTGCGGTAGAGAGGAACACGTTAGTCGTCCATTTGGCCATACGGTCCATGTTTGGTTGGAGGGGGGGCAGGGAGATCCACACGAAACCCCTGTCTCACGTCAACTGCTGGTTGATCAAATGTCAAATCACAGCCTGAGCCCTGCTCTGATTGCGTGGATGATCATGGATGTCATTGAATGGGGCAGCGGTGCAAACCCAGCGTTTCCACCACCGGTGAGGCCATTTGAAGGACTTCCAGGACAAAGTCACGGCTGCAGGCGGGGCACGAAAAAAAGGCCGGAGCGGAAGCCGGAGTTAGTGATAGCAAGGATGCGGATATAACATCAATTTCAGGGAGGACTGGACAACCGACCTGGCCGGGCCCGTGTGCCCTCCAGCCCTAGGTGCTGCCCCTCCGCGAAAAGATTTGGAATCCGAGGAGCCACGGCGCGTGGAATCCCATGTCGGGCTGCGTCAAGCGGTATCAACACGGAAGACGTCGGCGAGCAACATGTCCAATGTTCAAAAAGAAACACCAGACCAAGCTGCAACGCGATGTGGCCGTCAGAATCCGATGGCAACCCCGTGCTGCGAACAAGGATTTTGGGGGCGTGCCGCTGAGTCGACCCCGAGAGAGCCTTCGGATCGTCCCGCTTCGGCCGAGTGAGTCGCTCGAGTCCCGGTGGCTTGGAGGTCGCTTTCGCGGGGCGAAAAGGGAGCCCCATGTGTATAACAAGGTGCTAAGCCGGCTGAGCATCTCCAGATGTCGTGCCTTTTTCGCTCATGCAATGAAGTCAGACAGAGTGCATGTGGTTTCTTGAATCTTTCCAGGATTCTTCCAACGTCTCCATGAATCACCACCTCCGTCCACTCCCCTCCCGCGTTGAGGAGGAGCTCTTGACCGCGCTCTTCCGGAGCACAGAGGCTGTGCGGATGCGCGAGGCGCGCCGGGCGCCGGGCACGTGGCTGCAGTGCCTGGAGGCGTCCATGGATGCCGCGGAGATTTTGGCGCCGGCCTGGCCGCGGCCAGGAGAGGAGCGAGGTGAAGGTGGGTTGCTGGGTTGCTAGGTGGGGATGACATTGATGACGAAATCAATTCATAATTCATACATCGATTTATGAAGTATTCATGTTCCAGAAGACGAAATAGGCTTGTTGAAGGAGCAGGTGCAGTAGGTGAAGGTGGTTAGTTGGGTAGGGTTGGTGGCCTTGTGTCCATGGTCAGTAGGCAAAGGGTCTTTCTCAAGGATTTACAAGCGACAAGTTAGCTGGTGAGAGCCCAGGGGCTTTGAATGCAGTTTTCTGGATTTCTCTGGAAGAGTACTGGCACGGACTTGTAGCGCTATATATATATATATAAGGTTACATATAAATATACAGAATGCCTCATGACCGATCCTCTATGAAATGAATATTTGATAGTAACTGCTTTCTTTATGAAATGGGCTGGCCCAATTCACTTATATAATAGACCCAAACCTTAAATTGTAAGCCGTCTATCTTAGAAAGCTGAATAGGGCTATTCATTTTCAAGTTCAAATCATAATCATCGAGACAGATGATGGCCATAGCACGTTGCAGACTGTCTTATGGAATGAAGTTCTGGTAGGACTAGCTGCTCGACATGACTGTTTAGTATGTAGAATGGCACTTGACCTATCGTACCGGTGATTTACTGGATTCCCTCCCAGGCGGATATCGAAAACATCCAGTGTTGCGGGCACTACGCAACTGCAACGGTCTTGACCGGAGCCAGGACGCGTCAAAGTGTCGCTCTCTCCAAAACACGGCTCGGGCGCGGCTGCCGGCAACACAGCGAGAGGCCTGCAGTGGAGATCATCAGAGATCCATGCGCTTCAGCGGCTTAAGCTGTCGCGCAACAGCTTGCTGTGGCTAGGTTTTTTGCGATCAATAGGACGACCCCTTCAAAACATATTCGTATACCATTTGTTGAACGTCTGGGTTTCAATGGCTCAACCACACCCGAGTTATGGGGCGAAGCGGTCACTTAGGTCAGATGCACCACTAGTTGCGTGTACATTCATCGCCATCGCCATGGTCTCGTCATTCTTGTTCCTTCAAGTCCCTGAAAGTTCTGTTGAACACCCGCCACTTAAGTATCTTAAATCTTAAAATTATGTTTGCATGAGCAACACCGATGGTTGTGGAACGATCTGAGTGACGCAGTGTATCCCCCCTCTTCATTGGGAGGGCAACGGTGCGACATGACTGTTGGCAAGTTAAGGGCGTTGCAAGGATCAAGTCGAATGCCGCTGTCACCCATGTATTTGATTGGGGCTTTTGCGCCCCCCACAAAGCTGCTCCAAAAATAGATTGTAGGTTTCCCTGACGAATCTTCACTTTCTACTGCTGCCCGGTGTGGGGAAATGTTGGTGGGGACACAGGGCCTGAAGAGAACAGAAGCCAACTCTTTCTCCCAAATTTTATCCTTTTTATCAGCACTTGTCGTACCGCGCCATCTGAAGATTTGGGCAACTGTGCCACAACGCCTCAATCGTGGGGTGACCCCTACGGGGTCTCAACCAGACCTTTGGGTAGAGGGACGTGCGCATTCACCGCACAAGAAGAACATCAAAATCCTATCGCTGCCAGTGGGCCACCTGCAAAACCATGGCAGCACCTTTGAACATTGGGGACGCCCAAATCGAAACTCGTGGAAAGTTCGGTTCACCTTCTTTTCACCTCTCCAGGGATCGTGCGGCCATGGTGCCTCCACCACCTCTGAAAAACATGCTGAAGCCCCACAGGCCATGTTTTCGGCCAGGTCCGCCTTCCAGTCCTCTACCAGAGGAGGTGGAGGGCGTGGAAGAGGTGATTCTCGCCGATGAGGCGCGGAAGCTTCGTGCCGATGAGGCGCCCAGGAGGTTGGTGTGATCACAACCTCCCACCGGTAGAAGCGGGTGGGGTTGCTCCTAGTATGGTTGGCCATGGTGCCCACACACACCACCTGGTGGAACAATGAGTGACTTGCAGGACCTGATTCTTGTAGGGTCTCTTGCCCAGATGAGTCACTTTTCAAAACAGTTTCTCCAGGCAATTTTGTTCTGGCACTGCTTTGCCGTAGGGGTCCCGGTATTTCGTCGGATGGCACAGTTTTGCATTGTTTGCTTTAAATTTCTTCTAGCACGAACACCAGTCAGACTCCCTTCAACGCAAAGAGCACCAACTGACCACTCACTAGCCGCGGTGACAGCCAGGGATGGTCGGGGATGGTCATGTTGGGATCCCTGGCCGTAACCTTTTGCCGTTTGGAGTGGACACTTAATTACGGGTCAAACAGGGCACCTGTTTCGGAGTGGAGCTCAAAAGGGGAGTGATGGGGAGTGTGTTGGAAGAGCGAGATCCAAAAAAACCACCCCAAAGAGCAAACATAGAGCCGCTTACAGCCCGATCAGTGGGGTTAGATAGTCGAAACCGGTGAACACCCCCTGAACGCTTCTGATGGTGTACGCTGGGAGACATTGTATAAAGGGACTCTGGGTGGATCGTGTCGTAGCGTTCACTGTGAATCTTTATTGTTTGTCCGTGTTTTTCCAAGAGGTCGGCATTTGTTGCTGCTGTTGTGTGTCAATGTTTTGACTTGGCTCGACATGTTTGTCCTGGGTAGCGGGTTGCCTAACGGTTGTTTTTGAGTGACAGTTTTGTGGGGTGCTTCATTGTTGCTTTCTTCCCTGCCGGAGGCGGAGGGTTGGGGGATGTGGTCAAGATTTGACATCGGTGTTGTTTCACGAATCAGTGTTTGTTCATGCTGGTTTCATTTGGCGTCCTTCGTTTGACGCCCATGCCACCTGCGCTTTTCCGCCTGGAACGGCGCCTTCCTCATGTTCTTCCGGTTCTTTGGTGTGTTTGCCAGGACCTCAGCTCGAACGGACTTCTGGATCGTGTTTGAAAGGAAAAACTCGACTAAATTTTAATCAACTTCAAATTAGATTCTAATAGCGATGGCCTCCAACCTACTAGCGATGGCCTCCAACCTACTAGCGAGGGTCTCCAACCAAATAGCGTACGCGAGTCCGTTTGATGTTCTGGTTTCATTGGAGTTTGAGATGCAGATATGAAGATCACCTGTTCATGACAGTAGCGCATGTGTGCATGTGTGTGTGAGACTCACCTCTTTCTCCGCTTCCTTTTCAAACCAGCTGACTTTAGGTCAGGGTAGGGCGCTCAGTTCGATAGGCAGCTAGAATCAGAATGGTTTCTTTCCCCGACGCAGCCAGCCTTATAGTGCTGATTCTTGACCTTGTGGAAGGCATCATCACCACGATTCACTTCGATGAGGACGTCCATGGCATGTTTTTCTTGGCACTCTTCTGGATTGGCTACGGATTTGCCGACGCCGTCTTTCAGGAGATCACCGCGAACACCAAATGCAAATGGGACGATTGCCTTTTCAAGTGCGGCGCAGAAGTGGGGCAGTGTGTCCTCTACATCCACTTCTGCAGGAAAGACGCTGGTGTTGACGTGCCTTTGCAGGTACTTGCTGCAATTCAACTCTTCCTCGTGTGCAGTGGGACCATCGTGTGGGAGTGGACCAATCGGCCGAAACGAGGTCGAGACAAGAGCTTTGTAGGCGGCGATGTGGAAAATGCAGACCAAGCTGGCACGATCGTGGGGGTGGTGGGCGAGCACAATGAGCTTGCATCGGAATCCCAAGTGAATGTCAAAGAACCTGGCGAGGGAGACGCAGAGAGAGATACCGGCAGAGTTTCTAGGAAGAGTGCCACTGCGGAGAGAGCTCAGGTGATGAGGGAGATGAACATTGTCCAGCGTGGCTTGTCATCACCTTGGTTAAACATTTGTGTTGATTTGATTGGCGCAGTGCTTAATACTCTGCTGCCTTTGCTCTACAACCAGAGTCCCCATACCGCCAAAAGTGGTATGAACTTCTGATTTGTGTCTTGTTGTGGCAATCCATATTCCTACGTCAGGTTCTTGTATCTTTCGATAGCAGCACAGTAAAAGTTATTAGTGTTGTTTTTAGTGTGGTTTTCTCGATGTGCGTTTTTATTTTGAGTATTGTTTTGATATACATTTGGGGGTTGTCAGCTGAATTGCACGAGACTTATGATCGGGTACTCACGATGATGGGCATGATCTCTTTTGGCATTACAATTTGTTGTGGTTTGCTCTTGAGTTCTTGCAAGTGCTGCTTTGTTTGCGCCCAGCAGTGTGCTGCCCGTAACCGCAGTGGAGGCGGGCCACAGAAGGACACAGAATGACACCGCCCTAACTTTTCGTGCTGTCGCGCAGACACATTCAATGGCCCTGTGCTCTGGCCTATTTCAAGCCGTCGCGCAGACACTTTTTGCAAGAGGGCCTGTGTCCAATTGAGCAGCGTCAAGAACCTTTAAGAAAGAATTATAGATAAGGATGGATAAGGTTCATGTGGGTAACAGCCCGCGAAAGTAAAAGCTCAGGGCGCTGAAGTCAGAGTTTGTCCACGTTAAAGAACAAGAGTTCCGCCGCGAAAGTGGCGAGCAAGTTGGCACTTGGAAATGAAGACAGGTCACATGAGGTCACGAAAGCGTTTGGAAAGCATTCGTGAACAACCTAGCTCACTAGAACCCCACCGCAACCTGGTTTTTGACACAGCTCAATTGTGTAGTGTGATGATAGCCACGCTGTTGCACTGATGGCCGTTAGCCCTTCTTCACCTCGGCACAGTCGAGTTAAGTGAGGAAAAAGGAGCACTGACCTATCATTTTGGATATGCACTTTGCCGCTTTCCCGCTCTTTCAATTCGTAGATTGCAACCCATTCCCTCCAGACCACTAGATTGCATAGTTCAAATGCGCTGGAACGTTGAACGCCAGCAAGGACACGAGCAGTTCGTGTCTGACCGTGCAACATTAATTAGTTTTGGCTATAGGCCCCAATCTTCGCGAATGTAGGTGATGTTTTTATGATTTTTGTGCAAGCGCCATAGAGTTCTACTATTAGGGTAGATGTATATAGATGCCACAAAGCCGTGACATTTCAGTCTGGTGATGTTCCATTTTGGCCTGAAGCGTCGCAATCGCATGAGGTCAAGAAGACATCACTGTTGAGACCTTTGTGAAGGGTGCGGGGTTGGAGGTGTTATATGGTACTGGTACGGTATATCATATCCTTTTTCAAGCCTCTAGGAGCAGAGCTGATACAATCTTTTGGGCGAAGGCTTCAGCCCCGGGATTGAAGCGAGAGACAATGCCTAACCTTTGCGAAAACCTTCAACCAAAGTTTGGGGCAAGGGCTTTCTTCACACATCTACGCCGTACACATACACACTTTCCCACGTGTCCATCTCTCACAAGATAAGGCAGATCTGTGGAGGCCCCAAAACGCAGGTATAGGGTTCGGGCTGCGTAGGGGAGAGTAAGAATAGACAGGTAACCAAAAAGCGCACATTTCAAACAATCTATAGTAAAGTCCTGTTCTACACGGAACTCCCCACCAAGTAGCTCCACATCAAGCAGTGGCGCGACAATTGTTTCCTGTTTTGTGGGCACACCTGTTCGTCTAAGTCCCATACAGCCTTACCAAGACTGGCCTGCTGTAAGCCATGGTTTCAATTAAACATGTTTCGCAGTTTTCTAATCCTGTCAAAAAGCAAACACTTCCAATATCTTCCAATATAGTATATTCGTGCTTTACTTGTCACAAATTTGCTCCAAAGCAAGGCAGCTACGAGAAGCTGCAACACATCTTCTCCCAAGCTGATGCACGCTTTTCTCACACCAGTTCAGGAAGCTGGTCCCAAAACGGTGCACAAGAATGTCCAAACACTGTGCACAAATGTACCCTCAAATCAAAGCTTTGCACATGTGCACCAAAACTGCGCGCAATGAATGTTGAAACAACAACACAAATTTTGTGCACAACGAGCCGAACCTCTCTTCTGTGGATGTGCAGCTGGTTCCACAAAACGGCAGAGGTAACTTGACCTACACCCAAAACAATGTAGAAGGGGGTTCTGGGGCTAGTTTGTGGTATGTTATTTAGTTGAGTGCCAATTGTGTTTTCGTTGCTGTTGATGCTTTGTGTTTGAGATTGTCTCTCGCCCAAAACTCACCCTGTTCATTGTTCTTGTGTGCTTTCCTGTTCAGGTTAAAGTCGGAGGATCAGTTCATAGGCTGGCTAGCATATTAAATACCAGACTGTTTATGCGCTCTTCTTTTTTTTTTTGTGTGTGTGTGTGCGCTGGAACTTCATCATATCCAGTCTCAATCACCGAGCCAGGGATTAGAGAACATGATCCCGGGCTGCATTGACAGATTGATATGTATACTGTATATAATTGAATTGACTGTGCAGAAGCCGAAAGGAGGTTGTGCCACGTGACATGCCACTTCATCGGTGACAGTGCTCAGTTGCCAAGACAATGCCTCAGTGTGATGTCGCCGCAGCTGCTGGCTTAACGAGTTGGGTGTATTGAATGGATTGAATGGTCCAAGAATCAGTACCCGACAAACTGCCATTACAGGTTGCAGATGTCGCCACGAAGCATTTCGGACACAGCTGCACAACTTCAGCTAGTGAAGCTAGTGAATCTTGAGGTCCAGGATGAACTCACTGGGGTTATCTCTATTGCTGGCCAAGGTGTGACTGGTCTCAGTGGCATCCATGCGAAATCTCACCGTACCAGCTAAGGGATGCTTTTTCTATGACATCATGTCATGAAAGCTGGAATCAAAGTATATATATATATATAATTATGTTTGACACTTGAGACTTGTGCATGTGCTGCACCATGGCAGGCCAAGAAAAGCAATAGAGGTGAAAACATGTGAAAACTATATGGATTGCTCTTTAGGGACATCTCATCTCACCTCTACCAGGGCCGCTAAGGT